TTTGTCATCTTAATGGTATTATCATCATTCTGATGGAATCGTCATAGTGGGGCCCCATCATCTTTTTGAGAATTCAAAATTGATATTAGGTGTAGATAAGGTTCCCTGCAGAAAACTCATAGAGACTCAAACATGAAAACATGTTCAGGAAGCTAGATGAAGACTTTTTTCTAAAACTAATTATAACTTTATATAACCATTAATATCATGACAAAAAGTTTAAAATATATATTAATCTTATTAAATTTGATATGAAATTCATAACTTAAGTAAAAATTCAAAGAGTGAAAAACACCCAAAGACGTAAGAGATGCGTGGCAATAAAATAGTCCCTTACTTTTGTTTTTACTCTGTCACATATCAGCTGGTTCTTCTGATATGATACAGAGATTTTGCATTTTCTTTTAACAGACATGCTTGGGTTTAGAAAATTAGAGATCCAGGCTCTAACTCCAAAGCCAGCTTTAATTTTTAATTGAACTGGGACTGCATAAAGACCATTTGTGTTATATGTTTGTAGAGAACAGCAGAAACAAACATTTAGAAAGACTTATGATATTTTATATGTGATATACCAATAGGACAATTTACTCTTTTTCTTGGGACCTTTTTGTCTAGATGATTTGTCTTTTATCTTCAAATGTCTCATTTGTCCAGTTTTCTTCAGATTTGTTAGCCTACCTTCTCCTGAAAGACTAAAACAAAAAGGGATCCCCAACCTTAACTTTGGGGAGGTTCGCTTTTGGCAAGTAATATCTGATTAAATCAAAAGCATTTCTTAGTTGTATAAATTAATTTAAATTGAAGAGCTATTACCTCTTCTAACTAAGATGTTTCTTTTGCTCAAATAAAACCTTTATCAATATTGATGGTATCCATTACTTTTCTTCTCCTATAGTTACAAAAGCAAAACCTTGTCCCCAATTTAATACATATCCTGGTTTCCATTTTGAGGGCAGCATATCCATAAAGTATATAGGCTGATTTAATACTCTAGTTCTTTTTTTCATTATCCAATGTCTCTTTGAAGCTGTTGTTCCTTTCTCATTCACATTAAGAAAATTCAAATTAAGTAGATCATTATGCAGTCTATTTCTGGGGGATTTTGTTACCCATTTCTGTTTAGTTAGCATATAATTAAAATTTGATTTGATGTTTCTATGACTGTTTGGCCTGTAGGATTGTGAGGCATACCTGTAATATGCTTTATATTATAACAAGCAAAACATTGTGTCATTTTACCAGAGACATACACTAGGCATTGTCAGTTTTAATTTGTGCAGGTATACCCATGATGGCCATAACTTCTAGCAAATGCAGTTGCCCATTGAAATCCTGAATAGGCATGAATGGTATAGTG